AGTGCTGGTTCTTTGAGGAAAGGGTAGTCTATTTTTGTCTGGCCATAGGACATATTGAGCACACAAAAGGTTGTTTAAGAAGAAAAGGTACAGGTTGATGCTATTCCCTTCATTTTCACAAAAGGCACATGCCAAGTCTGTTGTGCCACAACATATCATTCTCATGAGGTGTATGAGAATTCAGAGAAACACAACTTCTGACTTTATTTATAGATGATGGAACATTTACATTAAGTATGTCTACTAGCAAATGATATTTTATTTCAAAAGGGATCATGTACAGATGGAAAGTAAGCATCTTGGACATACATGAGTGAACAAACAAACAAGGAACAGAAGACTTGACTATAATAGAGGAAGAACTGGCATCTTTGTGTTTCAAGCATTGAGAGCACATGAAGTAAAGTCCATCTTTGACCCTACCAATCTCCAGAGGCCTCTTCAGTGAAGGGGCCTGCAACATACAAATACCATCACTGAAAAAATGCAATTCCTCTGAGATGTAAAGTCAACAAATGAATGGAAATGAGATTGTATTTAAAAGAAGGAACAAAAAGGACTTTGTGTAACACAATCCTAGTGCAAGTTTACACTTCCAACTTCTGTTACTCTCTAACTTTGTAACCATTTGGGTAATATGACTAATAGGGGATAAGGTAAGACAGTAATGTCACACATTGAAGATCTATTGAAGGTCATGTGATTTGAGGCCCCTGAATCTAGTATCCATGTATCAGTCTTAGATTTAAAGCACCTACATGACAATTTACCAAAATCAACTGAAGAGCTACAGACTACAATACCTGCAAAGTTGGCAGCTCCAGGGCTCAGGTTTAGACTGTTGGGATCCTCCCTGCCCTACTGGTTTTGAAGTGTTGCAGCAAGCTCATGAGTTGACCATATTGTTCTTTGGTGACTCATTCCCTGACTCTTATTATGGTGTTCACCCTCATCACCATTGTTAGTCATCATGTCAGTTGGAGGACCATGGATATTTGCTACTGTTCTTTTTCCTCTATTGAACCTGAAACCTTGATTGGGATTTTGAAATTCTGATTAGCTCTTTGAAACCTCTGATTGTTATTTTGGAAAGGCTGGTTAGAGTTCTGGAGCTTTGAGGATATCCATGGAGTTTATAGCATTTATCTTTGGTATGTCCGGCTTTCTACAATGCTCACACAGAGGACGAGGTCTACTATTAGATGTATAGTTGTTTCCTAGGTTGTAATTGGTCTTGAAAGTGGGTTGCTTAGAGGTATTGACATTTAAAAGAGGCAGACTCAAACATCAGTTGGTTGTTAGGTTTGATCTCTCTCTGCTTCTCCTCTTGAATCACCAAAGAGAAGGCTTGGGCTAAAGATGGAAGGGGATTCATCATGAGAATACTTCAGCTTACCACAGTGTACACTTCATTAAGTCCCATAAGGAACTGGATCAATCGTCTATCTTGTTCAGCTTTGTGCATGTTCTCCTTAGCTCCACAAGTGCAATTACAACTGCATTGTGTCTTTGCACTTAAAGTGCTAAATTCTTCTCACAGCTTCTTCATCCTGGTATAGTACCCAGTGATATCTAGTGTTCCCTGCGGCAGATCATTTATCTCTTTCTGGATTTGGTACAGCTTTGCACCATTCGTTTGATCATAACGATCCTCCAGCTCTTTCCACAACTCGACTGAATCATTAACGTATTCCACACTATCAGCAATTTCCTTCCCCAAGGAATTCAAAATCCATGAGGTGACCATATCATCACATCTCTCCCATAGTCTATACTTTGGAGATTCTAGATCTGATTTCTTACAATCACCATTAATGAAAACTAGTTTATTTTTAACTGACAGTGCTCGAAGCACACTCCGTCTCCAAGATCTGTATTCAATCCCATTAAAGGGGACTGGTACCAACATTGCACCAGGATTATCCGATGGATGCATGTATAATGGACTACTTGAGTCAATAGTGGACTCCTTGCTTGAGTCCACATCGATGTGTTCGATTTCTTCATCATTAGCCATGAGGATTACTCAATCAACAGTATTTGAGATGAGAAAAGGAAAAGAGAAATATAGATATGAGAACCCTAACTTTTCACAAAGACGAAAATTACCTGCAATTGAAATGCGCAGATTGAGCTAACGATGATCTACACCAATCTTATGCGCGTAGGATCAACTGCGCTCTGATACCACATCAAATAAGCAAAGCAAATGTGCAGTTGAGCTCGAGAAGAGCAATGGCGTCACTGGAGACTTGGAGGAGAAGACTGAAAATTAAGAGCATTTGCAAGAGGAAGGAAAAATGAATTTGGAAATGAAAGTCTCAATCATATTAGCTCTACTACAGTGTATATTTACAATACAAAAGCAGAAGAGAATAAGAAGCAAAACTAACGGAACCCAAACTCCAACTAACTGACTAACTAACTTTAGGAAGTCTAACTAACTCAACTAACTGCATAACCGCTTGGTACTACTCGTAATGCTATAAGTACAACTACCCTAAACAAATATAAATAATACAATACAGTGTATGTATCCTAATGATCTCAATAGTATTTGTTTGGACTCTTCTCAACAAACATTAAAAGCTTTCTTTAAAATAATATCTTTACTTTGTTAAAAAAAATATTTTGGAACACAATAAGACTTTTAAAAGACAATTATTCCAACACGTTTTCTAATAATTTCTCAAAATATTTGTTTAAAAAGATTTTACAATAACTTTCCAGACGCTATTATCCTTTATTTTTGCAAATTGCCAAGGATCAATTCCTCCACAATATTTTAAATCGAGTTGACTTCGTATATTTCCTTCAAATTATTCCACTTAGCAATTAGCGTATTAGCCTAAACAAAGATATCTCCATAGGAATTTTGGTACTTGTCTTACTTTTAATCCTACTTTATCCATACTTTATTCTTTGATTGCATGATCTTGAAATCATTAGGAATCATTACCATAAAATACTCTATTTAGTTCGCGATTACGATTAATCCAACTTAGTTTCTGGATAATAACGTGTTCTCTAACTATATATTCTTATCCAAAAACCTTAATCAACGATCTATATATTGTTAACTTATCTTTCAATTCATGATTAAATAATTAAGACTAGTGCATATCTGATAAGCATCAAGCAACAAACAACCTTTAAACTTTTGACAACATTGTGTTAATTTACACGGGAAATACCACTCAAAGAAATAGTATTAAATAATTGAGGTGGTGTCACATATCACCATTAACTTATTATGGAGTTCACCTATTCTATAGTAGTTATAAATATACTTCCTTTACAAAGTTATCTAAAATTAGTAGAGAGAGAGAGGAAGATTATCTTATCGACAGTTTATTTAATTATCTTAAAACATGTATACCTTAAAGAATGATTCTAAAATATATATAGATATATAGAGAGAGAAAATGATTAAATTTTTTAAGTACATAGGAAGGAAATGAAAGGAGATGCTACTTGTGATGGGAGACTTATAGCATATTTAGCCAAGCTTCTAAAATCAACGTATTTCAAAAGAACTCATAAAAGCACTATTGGCGAGAAGAAGTTTGTGTTTGATTAATTAATTTAAAAAGTACTTTTAAGCAGTAATTAATGTTTAGTCAAGCTTTTAAAAGTGCTTCTATGTGTATATTTTCAAAAGTGCTTTAGAAACTATTTTTTCCGTTTTTCAAAAAATGTACTTATGTTTCTACTCAAAAGCACTTTTTTTTTTCTTTTAAAAACTTGGCCAAATATCTTTGTTAAAAATGCACTTTGTCCCAAAGAAAAAAAAACACATGCATCAACCACTAGATTATGAAATAATTAAAGACAATAACCTAAGTAGGTTAAGGTTATTACATGCAGCTTATGAAGGGGGACAAGTGGAATGCAAAGTGACCATAAGCATAACAAGTAAAGAGGGAGAAATTCAAAAATAACCAGATTTACAAGTGGTCATTCTAAAATAGCCACAGTTTCAAAAGTAATCGAAATTTAGCCACTTTTCATGTAAAAATAAATTTGAACGAAAACACTGTTCAAAATCCGGAAATACTCTAGTATATTATACAGGAGTTCCAGCATAAGTATACTAGAAATCCAGCATATTATAATGGAGATCCAGCATAAGTATACTGGAACTCCAGCATAATATACTGGAGTTCCAGTATAATATACCGGTCCAACATAATATGCTGGAAGTTATACACATGTGCTCCAATCTCCAGTATATTATGCTGGAACTTTTCGCATGTTGGAGTTCCAGCATAATATGCTGGAAGTTCATACACAGGTGCACCGATCTCCAGTATATTATGCTGGACCGGACCCGGTTGCAAGAAAATAGTGACTATTTTTCAATGACTTTGCAAACGTGGCTATTTTTGAATGACTAATCCGAAAACTGGTAGTCCGTGCTATTTTTACAAGTAAAGATTGATTAATATGTTATGTGTCGGCTTAGAAGAATGAAGAAGTGTTAGGTTAGAAAATGAAACACTGAAACACGTGAGTGGCACATGGTTTAGATCTAACGGTTAGAATAAGAGAGATCAAATAAAGGGTGGAGATTAAAAGCCCAAATTCGGTTGGTTGGGCCAGCTAGCTTATAACTAATCTTGGGCCTAACAGAAGAGGCAGTTATGATCGGTAATTTTCTTCTCCTCTCTATTCTCATTCCCTCTCAATTTCTCTTCTTCTATTTCTTCTCCTTCCCTAACCTTAATTCTTCTATTCACAGGTATTAATGGCGGACAACAATGGAGTTTAGGTTCAGTTGTTCATTGTAACCATTCAGTTGATGAGCTATTGTACAATTTGAGTCGCATTAATAATAAATTCCAATATTTTGCCTCCATTTCTATTTTTGCATACAAGTACATTACAATTGGTATCAGAGCGATTCCTGGCCAATCACAATAATAGGAGCAGAAACACGATCTAAATCTACAGATGAATCGATAAAAAAATTAGAATCACAATTTCAGCAATACACATCTATGAATGACGCGAGACTAGAAGACTTGGGTAAGAAGTTAGAGTTGTTGGTGGAAAATCTCCTTCCACCACAAGATGGGATTCTAGGCAGTGCTCTAATGGAAGGTCCTTTAGAGACAGGATTGAGCAGCAGATCTTGGCTAGGAGAGAACAGGGAGGTCCATGGTAGTAGAAATCTGGGCCATTCTTCACAATCTCGAGTTGACATTCCTTATTTTGAAGGGGTGGATCCTTGTGCGTGGTTGAGAAAGTGTGAGAGGTTCTTTCAGCACAACAACATCACTGATCCTCAGCAGAAATTAGAAGAAGCAGTCATCCATCTCAATGGTAAGGCTGAGCCATGGTACTTTTCCTATCACATAAGCAAGGGAGTAGTTAGATGGTCAGAATTTACTACTGAAATCTGTAGCAGATTTGAGGGTGCATCTAACCGCAAACTCAATCTAATTGGAGAATTTAAAAAAATAGAGCAAACTGGAACAGTCGATGAGTACTTGGAAAAGTTTGAAGAGCTAAAAGCATGGGTGTTGATTAGAAATCCCACTATCCCTGAAGAATTTTTCTTAGAATTCTTCATTGAAGGACTAAAAGAAGAAATTAGACATACAGTAAAGATGTTGGATCCTTATTCTTTTAATAAGGCAGTGAAAAAGGCTAGACACAAGGAGAACTTGCTAACAACTATTACTAAAGGGGGGAAAGTACAAGGGAACAAAGGGCTAACTCCAGGATACCCTACCCAGGGAAGTAGAGGAATGAATAATGGCTCTAACTACATGAATAACAAACTGTTTAAAAGCAGGAAAGCCCAAGGACTGTGCTAGAAATGTGGAGAAAAGTACCACCCTGGGCATCAGTGTAAGCAGAGACAGTTGAATGCTATATCTGCTGCCCAAGAAGAGACTATAGAAGAGATAAGGGAACAAGAGGAGACTATGCTCATTCCAGAAGAAGAAATAGTAGATGAAGCAATCAGTTTGAATGCCCTATCTGGAACAGAGGTTCCCAATACCATTAAGCTAAGGGGAGAGTCCAAGAAGAACTCCTTAACTATCTTGTTGGATTCAGGAAGTACACATAGCTTTTTGGATATGGAAGCCGCCAAAAGAACTGGATGTCTCATTTCTGAGGCTGTGACTATGAGAGTCACGGTAGCCAATGGCAACTATCTCATGAGTTTGTACATCTGCCACAAGTTTAAGTGGAGGATTCAAGGAGTAGAATTTGAAGATAAAGTCAGAATTACTAAATTGGGAGGTAATGATATGATACTATGAGGGGATTGGATGAAAGCCCATAATCCAGTCCTTTTGGATTTTGTGGATTACAAGGTACAAGTAACTCATAAAGGTAAAAGAGTGGAACTTAAGGGGATCTACAATCAGTCTGAACTGAAGAGCATGTCGGCAAATGTAGGTCAAGCAGTTGTTAAAGAAAGGACAGGCTATTTGGTCACACCTGTTCACTTTATCAGCTGAAGAGGGATCAGAAGCAAGAGAGTTACCTGTGGAAATTGAGGGTGTTCTGAAGAAGTATCCAGATGTCTTTTTGGAGCCAACTTCATTACCACCAAAAAGAGCTCATGATCATTTGATTCCCCTGAAAACAGATGCAAACCCTGTAAGTATCAGACCTTACAGATACAGTTTCTTTCAAAAAAATGAGATAGAAAAGCAAGTTAATGAAATGCTCCATAATGGTATAATACAACCTAGCCATTCTCCCTTTTCATCACCTGTTCTGCTAGTCAAGAAAAAGGATGGGAGTTGGAGGTTTTGCATAGACTATAGGGCTTTGAATAACATGACCATAAAGGATAAATTCCCTATTCCTTTAGTTGATGACTTAATGGATGAGTTGTGTGGGTCATGTATCTTCTCTAAAATAGATCTAAGGGCTGGTTATCATCAAATAAGAATGGGAGAGAATGACATTTATAAAACTGCTTTTAGGACTCATTTCGGGCATTATGAGTTCAAGGTCATGTCTTTTGGCTTGACCAATGCACCTGCTACTTTTCAGTCTCTCATGAACCATGTGTTCAAGGACTATATCAGGAGATTTGTATTGGTGTTTTTTGATGACATCCTCATATATAGCCCTTCCATGGAAGAGCATGTAACACATTTAAACAGTGTGTTAGGAGTCCTCAGAAAGGAATAGCTATTTGCTAAGCTTTCAAAGTGCTCTTTTGGTCAATCACAAGTAGAATACTTGGGACATATCATAACAGAAAAAGGGGTTGCTACTGACCCTTCCAAAATTGAGGCTATGACTAATTGGCCTACTCCTACCACAATCAAGGCTCTAAGGGGATTTCTAGGACTCACTGGTTACTATAGAAGATCCATTAAATCTTATGGAGTTATTAGTAGACCACTGACCAACTTGCTAAAGAAGAATGCTTTTCATTGGGATTCAGAAGCAGATCAAGCATTTCAGACCCTTAAACAAGCTATGACCAGTGCACCAGTGTTTGCACTAGCAGATTTCAACAATGGGTCCATTGGTTACCCTTGGCTGAGTGGTGGTACAATACAAACCACCACAGTGCTCTTAAAACAACCCCCTTCCAAGCATTATATGGGTTTGCCCCACACCAGATTCCCCTGGGGTCCTTACCCCAACCAGTACAGTCCCAAGTAAGGACATGCATATCCCAAAGACAATATATGCTACAATAACTGAAGGATAACCTCATTCAAGCCCAAGCAAGAATGAAGTTTTATGCAGATAAAAATAGATCAGAAAGAGTCCTAAGTGTGGGAGATTGGGTATACTTGAAGCTTCAACCATATAGGCAAGCTTCAATTGCAGTAAGGAAGAATCTCAAACTCAGTGCTAAGTTCTATGGCCCTTATAAGATTCTACAGAGGATAGGAGAAGTAGCTTACCGTCTAGATCTTCCTCCAGGATCCCAAATCCATCCGGTATTTCATGTTTCCCAGTTGAAGAAACGAGTGGGCCCCGACATCACTCCACAACAGCAGCCACCGATTTGTGATGCAAACGGAGAAGTCTTGGTTCATCCAGTAGCTATTTTGAGAAGGAAGATGGTAAAGGTTAACAATGGGGTGGGAGTCAAGGTGTTGGTTCAGTGGGCTAATTTGGGGGAAGATGAAGCAACTTGGGAAGATTGGGGCTACATTCGAAGCAAATTTCCAGAATTTGTGGCACAACTCTAACCTTGAGGACAAGGTCAATTTTCATCGGAGGGGTATTGTTATGTGTCGGCTTAGAAGAATGAAGAAGTGTTAGGTTAGAAAATGAAACACTGAAACACGTGAGTGGCACATGGTTTAGATCTAACGGTTAGAATAAGAGAGATCAAATAAAGGGTGGAGATTAAAAGCCCAAAGTCGGTTGGTTGGGCCAGCTAGCTTATAACTAATCTTGGGCCTAACAGAAGAGGCAGTTATGATCGGTAATTTTCATCTCCTCTCTATTCTCGTTCCCTCTCAATTTCTCTTCTTCTATTCTTCTCCTTCCCTAACCTCAATTCTTCTATTCACAGGTATTAATGGCGGACAACAATGGAGTTTAGGTTCAGTTGTTCATTGTAACCATTCAGTTGATGAGCTATTGTACAATTTGAGCCGCATTAATAATAAATTCCAATATTTTGCCTCCATTTCTATTTTTGCATACAAGTACATTACATAATAATTGTAGGTCTTTGAGCGTTTTTTCCCCAAGAAAAGTACTTTTGTAGTGCATATTTTTGTTTTGTTATTGAAAAGCTGTCTAGGCGATAGTCAAAAGCCAATAATGATTAAGGATCTGATTTATTTACACTTCTTTTATATTTGTTTGCAAAATGTTTAATTTAATTCATTTTTTGGCGTTTAGCTTGACCATTCGATGTGATATTTCTTGATGGATCAACTTATAGATATCTGATATAAATTTCAGTAACCAACTAGTAGCATGTATATAGTAGTAACAATTTTAGCTACAAAAGATGCATTTTTAGTTTTTAATCTATATATCAATATAAGATACCTTTCTCAATTACACGAGGAATCATGGACAATTATTATGTTTTCATAGAATTTGATTGAAGGTCCAGTTTTGATTTAAGTTTTGAGGAACTCAAACTAATAACGAGCCAATCAGTTTCTGATTTTCCTTCTTTTTCTTTTTTGGGTTGGGGGTTTTGGGTTGGGGGGGGGGGTGGGTGAGTCATTATTGCTATTTTCTTGAAAGAGTTTGACTCGTATATATTGATAGTGTATAAATTTATACCGTCAATTTAATTATCTGGCTATAACAGGTTATTACTTTAAATTTCAAGTTCTACATAGAATGTTATTTCCACATCAAACACTTTCAGAAAATACATAAAAGAAAATGGCATATTCCAACCTGGTTAAAATATTCTAAACTTGCTTTATTATTTCTTTTTTTCTTAAGCCACTTTGAATTTTCGGGGATGTTAATTAAGCTCATCCTACTTCGTATGATACGATTAAAAGGAGTAGTTTCCAAGTATTGAGGGAAAAACCTATGGTTGATTCTTCTTTAAGAATAATACTAAGTTTTCATCGACATTACCTCCAATTCTTGTTCGAATCCCTTATCATATTCCCCCATTTGTAAAATATGTCCGAGTATTAAACAACAATTAAAGAAGATTTTCCAACCAAAAAACAAACATGTTGTTTTACCATATTTTATCTCTCATTCATTCCTGTAAAACATTAATTGCATGATAAAGAATAGGAGTAGAATTCAAACCATATGTAAGAAAAAAACTTATCTTTTGATAATGCATTAATATTAATTTGGGAGAACTTAAATTGAAAAGAGGACACTATAATATAATTATATATAGTCACACGTGTAGTTTAACGTGTACCATAAGTCTATGCTACTTGATATTTTAAGAATTTCTTTTGATCAAGAAATTAGGATAAAATGAAGATTTACTACAATTCAATTCCGTGTCCACCAAACAAAAGAAGAAATGCAAATAAGGATAATATTGTAATATGTAAAATTTCTCCACAAAAAACAGATACTCCATCTAACAATATCATGTTAGAAAGAGAAGTGAGAGACACGTATGGCCTACTGGAGACTGAATTATGGGATTAGTGCTTCAAATTATAGTGTTTATTTTTTCCACGGAACTTATCAATAAGATTTAAGATTGTATAAAGCAACACTAATAGTCTTTTTTCATAAAGATTTCTCAACCATGCATTATCTCTTCTTTCCTTCAGCATCTTTCTAACATAATTGATTTGCTTTTGCATTCTCATCTCGCACTATAAACAGTAGTGTACGAGGGACCGCCATTATATTATATTTTAAAAAGTACTAAAATGCATCACCAAACTCTTCTTTTAATAATAAATTTAGATTATATATACTTAATTACAATGTAAAAAAATATTATTAATGTAATTCAGCCGGTTATAGTAGGTGGTTGCTCATACTTTTTATGAAGAAAAAAAGGCAGCATGGTGCACTAAGCTCTCGCTATACATGGGGGTTGGGGAAGGACCGGACTACAACGGTCTATTGTACACATTCTTACCTTGCATTTTTGCAAGAGGCTGTTTCCACGGCTCAAACTTGTGATATCCTAGTCACGTGACATAACTTTACCATTTACGCCGAGGCTCCCCTACCTACTTTTAACTTTTTGTGAAGAGTTATATCTAATTATACGTCAACTTAATGTGATGGTATAATAATTTGAGTTTAACTTCTGACATTGCACAAAATTAAGCTCTTCGCTTATTGTCTTCTTTACCTAACTGGCCGTTACATAAAAGGCATTTTTTTTGTGTCATCTTTTAGAAAAAACAAACCCCTCACGATACTCATCCTGCCCCTCATGCACCTTATCATTCTTATTTTACTGATTTAGCCATCAATTTTAAGTATAAGATAAAAAGACGCAGAAATAGAAAGAATTAAACCACTATCTTAGCCAATACATACCACCACCAAATATGCCACCTTCACCAGAAAATGTAACACAAAAATGGCCAGCATCAAACCTCATGCAAAATCCCCTTTCAGAGCTAAAATTGCAAAAAGGAATACTACTTCCTTTGATGGCTATGAACTTCACATGGTTTGCAAAAACAGCCATCACAACTGCATTTCTCGGTAGGCTTGGAGATCTTTATTTAGCTGGAGGAACACTTGGTTTTACATTTGCAAATGTGACCGGATTTTCTGTCTTGAATGGCCTTTGTGGTGCAATGGAGCCAATTTGTGGACAAGCTTTTGGAGCCAAAAATTACAAACTTCTTCATAAGACCCTTGTTATGGCTACTTTATTATTACTATTAATCAGTTTGCCTATTTCTTTCTTGTGGCTAAATATTGATAAGATCCTCATTCACTTTGGCCAGCAAGAAGATATTTCAAATATGGCCAAAAAGTATCTCATTTATCTCCTCCCTGATTTGGTTATCACCTCTTTGTTATGCCCTTTAAAGGCTTATTTAAGCACACAAAATATTACAATCCCAATTATGTTAAGCTCAGCTGTAGCAGTTGCATGTCATGTACCATTAACCATGTTACTTTCAAGGGCTAAGGGTATAATAGGAGTTTCTATGGCTTATTGGATAACAGATTTTTTAATCATGATATTTTTGGCTATTTATGTTGTGATAGCAGAGAATAAAAAGGGAGGAAAATGGAAAGAAGGAGGATGGTGGGATCAAAGAATTCGCGATTGGATCAGACTACTGAAATTATGTGGACCATGTTGTCTTACTACTTGTCTTGAATGGTGGTGTTATGAAATCTTGGTTTTGTTAACAGGACATCTACCAAATGCTAAACAAGCAATTGGAGTTATAGCCATTGTGTTAAATTTTGATTATTTGTTGTTTTCTGTTATGCTTTCGTTATCAACGTGTGCATCTATTCGTGTGTCTAATGAGCTTGGTGCAGATAGTCCTGGTCCTGCTTATCGCGCAGCCTATGTATCGTTAGCTATGAGCGTTGGCTCGGGTTTTCTTGGTGGTGCTGTTATGGCAGCTGCAAGAGGAATTTGGGGGCCATTGTTTAGTCATAATAAAGGGATTATAAATGGTGTTAAGAAAATGATGTTGTTAATGGCATTACTTGAAGTGGTTAATTTTCCATTAGCAGTTTGTGGAGGAATTGTACGAGGAACGGCTAGGCCATGGCTAGGAATGTATGCTAATATTAGTGGATTTTATCTCTTAGCTTTACCATTAGGTGTGGTTTTGGCTTTCAAGATTCATCTTGGTCTTACTGGATTGTTGACAGGATTTGTGGTTGGAGTTGCTGTTTGTTTGGTTTTGTTGTTGGTGTTTATTGCTAGGATTGATTGGGTTCAAGAAGCTAAGAAAGCACAAGTTTTTGCTAGTAATCTTGAAGAAATAGCTAGTGATGATAATAGGAAAACTTCACAAGTGGTTACTGAGTATGGTTCATGACTATGGTCGTGCCTCACCTACCGTCAGAGACGGATCTAGGACCCGTATAATAAGATAATATATTCATTTTGAACTCACTGATTCTGAATTCGCCTGTAACTACAAATTATTGTTGGATAAGTATATTACTAGTTTACTACTATAGTACTTGTGAGCTGTCACCAAGTCTTTACCACAAGAAAGAGAGGTTTATTTCTAAGGCAATGATTTGGGGAATACCAAGCAATTTCATTACATACTATCTTTCGATGGCAAAAGTTAAAACCTCCTTTATTTCTAAGACTGTTTTCGGAGCAGCAACATACTTAAGATTTTGCGTAAGCGTTGTCGGTCTATAATTTCCTAATGATATAAAAAAATACAACTTGATATATAACTAATCAGTATGGATTTTTTCAATCAAAAAATTATCTTGTTTGTAAGTAGATTTGAGTTTATATGTTTTACTTCGTGTCCCAAATTGATATTTAATTACTTTTTGTGTTTTCAAGCGATATATGCCTATAATAAATATTATATTTTAAACAATCAATTATTCACATAAATAAGAGAATGAAGGGATGTCGGATGACATCCTTTATTAGAGGGTGTCTTCGCAGCTGTTTCTGAGCATGTAATAACCAATGCACCACCTCCAGAAAACCGGATTATTGTTGTAGCTATGTCTAGTTTTTGACATTTTGAGGTAAATCCAGCTTGAAAGTCACTCTTGTTTATTAGAACCGTCAATATGGGCTTGGCTCGTTGGGTAGAGTAAAAATTGTGTGGGGTAGCCACTTTTTAAAAGTGGTATTTACTTTTTATCCAGTATTTTTAATGCTGAGCAAAAGTAGCCACTAGTCTATTAAAATTAACACGAAAAGACGGTGTTACCCTTTCTTCTATCTCTTGACCCCGCCTTGTCCCAGCACATCTTCTTCCCTTCAGTGTCAAAAGTCCTTGCTCTTTGTTTCTTTTCTCCTCTTCGAGATCGACCAGGTGAGCTTGAAGAGCTCATTTCACTACCTAACCTAGTTCCCCCTCTCTCTTTCTTGGGGTTTAGGTGGAGGAGATTGACAGACTATACAAGGAAGGAGACGAGATGATTGTAAATAGGAAGAGGGAAATCATCAACAAATTAAGGACTTAGAAAAAAGAAAGAAAAGAATATAAAGGGTAAAAGGGAAAAAAGGTGATATTTTCATCAGAGTGCTAACAGGCTTAATAATATGAGTAGTACTTAGTATAACTATTAGTATGGTGAACTAGAATTTTATGGGCGGGGGGGGGGGGGGGGGGGAATTAGGAAATCAGAATCTTAAATACGTGCATATGTGGTGGTTTGAATCAAGGACACTTGGTCCTGAACTTGTAAGTTCAAAAGTTAAGGACATTTGGTCCTGAACTTAGACTAACAAGCTCAAAAGTTAAAGACAATAGGTCCTGAACGTACAGTTACAAGTTCAAAAGTTAAGGACAATGGGTCCTGAAGTCCTGCATTTAGACTAACAAGCTCAAAAGTTAAGGACACTTGGTTACAGTTACAAGTTCAAAAGTTAAGGACACTTGGTCCTGAACTTAGACTAACAAGCTCAAAAGTTAAGGACAATTGGTCCTGAACTTAGACTAACAAGTTCAAAAGTTAAGGACAAGTAATCCTTAACTTAGAGTTACAAGCACAGAACTTAAGGACAGGTGGTCCTGAACTTCGAGTTCCAAGTTCAAAAGTTAATGACATGTAGTCCTGAACTTAGAGTTACAAGTTCAAAAGTTAAGGACATGTTATCCTGAAATCCTGAACTTAGAGTTGCAAGTTCAAAAGTTAAGGACACTTGGTCCTGAACTTTTATGAGCAGAAGGGTGTTTTCGTCCGGGCAGGTAAAGTTTATTAAAAGCAGTGGCTAAAGACTAAAGACATTTTAAACAGTGGCTTAAAAGTAAATACATGTGTTAGTAGTGGCTAATCGTGCACTTCCCCCTTGGGTAGACCCAACCCAATCCGTGATTTAATATGGTTGGGCTAAGATTTCTGGAGCCCATTTAACAACAAGGCTTTTAAGGCCCAAGTAAGCCCGTGGCCCATGAGGTTTGACCAAGACTCGGTCGGGCCGGACGTGGGCTTAATAACATATTTAATTAAAAGGAAAACTTACACAAATGTCCCAAATAAGTCTCAATTTACCAACCTCTAGCCATTAGTCATGGACTTACCAAAACTAGCCAAGCACATATAAAAATTGAAAACCCAAATAAATAAGGTTCTTTCTCTCCAAGAATCACACGCAAAGATTTTCTTACATATTTTTAAGCATGATTAGCAACATTAGATGCAAGACGGAAAGCAAATTTCATGGATGACGTAGCAAATAAGGTGATGAAATGCAAAAAAAAAAAATACAATAACAAAAATCTAAGCAAAAAAAGGGAACTTTTTCAATGGGTATAGTTGAAATTCATTGAAAACATATAGATAAGTCAATATACAAAGTTGAGGAAGATTGGAGGTGATTTGGACTAGTTTTGTGTCAAAATTCGTAATTAAATGAGTTCAAAAAATTCTTCTGCGACACATGTATCAAATACATGTAACACGCATGTATCTCACACATACATGTGATACACAATTGGTACAAAATATGATACACAGTGTGATACACATATCATATTTTTTTCATGTTCAGTTTTTCTTCGAATTATCAATTCAAACCACCTCAAAGCTTTACCAAATCATCCCAAAACTGAGATTCAAGCTCCTTAAGATGTATCCAATCTATTCTAATAACACCCACTCAAAAGAAAACAAAAATTTGATATTTTTTTGCTACAAATAGCTAATTGGTTAATATTAGTAATATTTGGCTAATATTAGTAACATTTTATGAATTGGCTAATTTTTGTAATGAGCTAATTATAAATGGACATCGCTGGTAGTTTCCCTAATTAAATATATAAGGAACTATAAATAACAAGAAGAGTAGTCCAATCTCAAACTAGTAATATTTTTTAGGTGAATATAAATATTTTTGTTCTTAAATTTTAATTATTTCTTAATATTTAACTAATTAATGTTATATATAATTATAGATTTAGATGAAAATAAAGATATTAAGACATCTTTGTTTCACAAAAAGATTCAAATGTGCTTGATGAAGATGATTTGTTAGTGTTGGATGCACCTTGAAATATTTTTGAGTTGTTTGTTTTGAGTATTAACTTTTAATTAATGAAATATTGTCCTCATTTTTTTATATTTTATAGTAATCTACTGGAACAATTGCTAAAGTTATTAAGTATTGCAGAAGCTTTCTGTAAGTTTGTAGTATTTGATAGATAGATATATATTGCATTGTACGATAAAAGTTAATTTTACAAATATAAAAAATAATTTTAAAAATGATGGGTCGACCCTTGGGGCCCGTGACCCACGTAGGATTGGATTGGGCTGACCATTTTAAGGACCATCGAAATAGTGGACCAGTCCAATCCAGCCCGTCAAATGCCAAAGCCCGCATGGGCTGGACTACACTCGGCTGGGCTAGCTATATTGACAGCTCTACTGTTTATAGGTTTGTCTCTGTTCAAACACCGGTTGTTATGAGGCCAAAATACAGCGGGCATCTCTTTACTTTTACCCAGTACCATTCTGGGCCTGAATACAAACTAGGCCATTTCTACAACGTACATTTCTGGGGGCAATTTGGCCGACCAGCCAAAAATAATTATATTTGTTAGCCGAATATATGTATGAAAATAAATTATGTATAATATATACATATATCTATACCTATATCTATACCTATATATATATATATATATATATATATATATATATATATATATATATTTTATTTACTATTACTTTTGGGAGCGGCTATATGATGTAGTTTTCCGGGATTTTTTTCTATCTATACCATATATGAAACTTTATTACTAAAAATATGCATAATTCCATTGTTACCCGCCATGTTTATANCCATTATTACCCGCCATGTTTATATTTTTCCTACAAAATTTATACTATTCATTAAATACCCAATATTAATAGCTGATTTCTTCCAAATTAGGCGCCTAAAAATTTGGGACTAAATATTTTTTCATATTCACATCAGATTTGTTTCCTCCTTTTTCTGCAGGCTTCTCTTTCCTCATTTTTCACGTCCTCGCCCTGCAACTTTTAATCCACGCCCAGTAAGTCAACTCATGTCTCCAACATCATCCATTACCGAGATTCACCAGCAATTTGTTGCGCCTGAAGATACATTGGAATCTGATTTCGGGGAGTCTCCCATGAAGAAGAAAAAGAGAATCAAATTTTCCATTCCTCTAGCTCCAGTCAACAAATTTTCTAAAAAAAATCTACAAATAAACTATAAATCAGTTTAAGTATGTAATAAAGCAATATTGTTTTAATGGTATCTACAAATTACTACATTTATACTACAATTAAACTGCAATCTATGTTGAAAAAAAATGTTGACTACAAAATTTTCTCCTAATCTTCAAATTTTCTATAAAAAATCTACAAATAAACTACAAATCAGTCTACGTATGTATAAAGCAGTATTGTTTTGAAGGGTATCTACAAAATTACTACATTTATACTACAATTACACTACAATCTATGTTGAAAAAAAATGTTGACTACAAAATTTTCTCTTTATCTACAAAATTTCTACGAATAAACTACAAATCAGTTTAAGTATTGTATAAAGTTGTATTGTTTTTAAGGGTATCTATAAAATTACTACATTTATACTACAATTAAACAATAATCTATGTTGACTATAAAACACCCAAATCAAAGGAGGGTAATTCACCTACTGCTGGTTTTTTTGGACTCGTTTTCGAACCTTGCTTGATCTTCATTGATGAGCTTCAAGTAAATAAAAATGAGGATAGGAATTTGTTTGTAGGGTTTACTGGATTTTGTTTGAATTTAGAGGTAAAGATAGTGGTTACAGAAGAAGGAAAATGGAGGAATAAGCGTGGGAGGGTACAAATGAACGTGGGGGGTATGGGGATGAGGGGTTAGGAGAGAGAAACAGAGGATTAGTACTTAGTACTGTCAAATAACGGAAGTGCTTAAATTAAGGAGTATAAAATATCACATTAATTATAACCTTAATTAGATATGGTATATAAATGGTAATTTGGTATGCTAAATG